TTAAGTTATTAAGAAAATCCAGTGTTTGTACTGACATAGCTGTAGTTTCTTCTCAGGGTAAAGTATTTCCAACATCTTAAAAATTAGATAGCCAATAGCTAACAGTCAACAACTTTAATTTCTATTTTATTTTGTAAAGCAAAAAATCTTAGCTGTGCTTGTTCATTCTTCCATAATGTTTATGTGAGATTATATTACATTTTAATATACAGGGTGTCCCAAAACTTTGGGCCCGTGGGAAAATGAACATTATACTTTTAAAGTTAAACAAACACATTTCTAATGTCAGTTGTACATATTTTAGGAAAGAAACTACCCTGATGTCACAGTATACCAAGAATTAATATGTGTATGTCTGTTAATGGCATGCAATTTGAATAATAAATAAATTAAGAATAAATTGTTTATTTGTCCCTATGGGTCCAGACTTCTGGGACGCCCTGTATAGTATTCTGAGATGTATCGTTATTTGTGCATTAATTTGTTTGAATATTGTCTATATACCTCAAACAATTTTGGTTTTGGTTTCATTTGCATAGATCCGTCGCCTGCTGCAAACCGCTACAGCTTAAGCTCTAACCAAGCAAGTCTTACTCCAGTTTCAATGAGTCCCCAGCCTTGTCCAAAGTCCTTTTTGAATAGGATCCGTAAACACAGCATCCTTAGTGTTACAAATATTCATCACAGTTTTTCAGATAAAGATCAAACTCGAACAATTAGCTTTGATGATATCCTGAAACGTAACCTTTCCTCTAGAAAATGCAGACAAAATAATAAGGTTAATGAAACAGAGAAGAACGAAGAGGAAACATCACGTATTATAGCATCTCTGGTGCACTCTAACCAGTCAATCAAACAAAGAAGGATGAGTTTAGATGATTTTATCAAATTGAATGGGAAAAAAATCAGAATGAGAAATGCAAGGGAGGAAAGTCAAGGTTATATGTCTGACATGTCAACCAAAAGCGAAGGGATCGATGAAACAAGCTTTATGGGGAGACTTTCACCCCGATTAGCACATTACTCAGCGCCATCGTTCACTGAATTTCACTCTATCAAGGAACAATCTTTTGAACAAGCCTCGTCCTCAGATAGCCTCAGTTGTGATGTCAACGTAGGTGAGACAAAAGTAGACATTTCTCCTTTAGCTCAACAAGCATCTGGACAGTCAGATTGTGAAAGTATTGAAGAAAAGCCCATTAAAGATGTCTCAAGTCCTATTCCCTTACCACAACTCAAAAATTCCTCTGAGCGACAAAATCCAATAGAAGAAAATATTGTTTGCGAACTCCAAGCGAGAGCAAACGACGAAATACCATATCAAACTAATCAATCAAAAGCGAATATAAATTTAGACAATATCACTCCAGTAATTCCAAATGTTCGTCTGGAAGTTTCTAGTTCTGTAGAAGCTACTTCATTACCATCAGTGTGTGTAGCCCCTAAGTTATGTGATATCTCTGAAATTAATCTTCTTACTTTGCCGAGTAAAGATCCTTCAAAACATCATGTACCAGAATTTTCCACTCCAAAGATACTAATTACAACCAACATGAGCTCCTGTGATTCTGAAGAGACTAGCCCTCCTAGAACTCCAAACACCAAGCCTTCTTCAATGGCCTACCTTAGTCCTTTGACCGCAATGTGCCCTTCTACTGATAGAACCATCTCTGAATCCAATCTTAGTACGTCTGGTTATTCCTCTCTGTCGAGCCCCGGCATGTCCAGATGCAATTCCAGTAGCCCCTTAGCTGAGGAACTGGACGTTGGTGCAAAAAAGTTATATCTGGCTCAAAAAGCTTCCCATTTTCTTTCTCCTAGTCTAATTACAAGTAAGTGTGAAAATGCCTTTCATTTTCCTTCTCAGCAAATTTATTCATATCTACAAGTTAAAAATCACCCAGACCCCTCTTGTTTTCCACAGCGGCGAGCATCTGTTGGTGAAGCATTGTTTCCTCCTACAAAAGATATAGATCGTCACTTGTGTAGAAAGAAGCTAAGCAAGCGTATTTCCTACCAGACAACAAGTACTGAAGACTCTATAGATGATGAAGGAATTGTATTAGACCGTATTGAGATTAAAATTAAACAAGGAAAGGTAACAAGTGCAAAAGAGCTTGAGATGTCAGTAGCTTCTGAAAAATACCAGAAACCAGAAAGAGATATCACCTTACATAATAAGTGTCGAAAACCATCTCCTCTAAGTTTGGAGCTTCCAGATATTTCAACTACGTGTTTATCAGAGAAACATCACCCAGCAGTAAGAAGTAGTCCTAAATTGAAGAAAGGCGACAAGTCAAAAAAAATCACCGACCATGGACGGACAAGTGTCTGTAGCTCCCCTAGTGTTACACCCATAAATGAAAGACTTTCAGAATGTCACGAAGGTAAGCTGCCACGAAACTCTTCAAAAACTAGCATGGGTAACCACATAATTTCATCGTCAGATGACGACTTAGATTCTCATGAACCACGACAGAAGTCGCCACGAAGACCACAC